CTGGCCGTCTGGCTGCTGTCCAGCTGCCCGGGGGCCCGGGCTAGGGGCTGCAGGTGGACGCTCTGGGGGTCGGAGAGCACCTCTAGGAAGGTGGGCTGGGTGTAAAAGCCGGGGATGCCGCTGGCCCCCAGCAGCCCCATGCCCACGCCGCCCACCCCGGCGGGACTGAGTACGGAGCGGGCCGCCAGCAGGTGCCCGGCGGGCAGAGAGTCCAGGGCGGCCCGAGGGTGCGACGGCGGCTCCTTGTTCAAGCCCAGGATCTCCTGGATGCCGAAGCCGGTGCAGCGGGGAGGGGTGGGCCCAGAGTTGGACTTGACCCCAGCCGCGGGGGGTGGCGGAGGCAGTGGCGGGGCGGCGGGGGCGGCGGCCGCGCCGTCGGGCTTGGGCTTGCCGGGCAGGCTGGGGGCCAGCGCCGCGCCCGCTTTGCCCGTCATGCTGCGGCCAGCGGTCCCTGGTGCCCGCTCCGGGAATGCCTGGGAGCCCCCGGCTCAGGCCCCTTTTATCCGCCCAGCCGGGAGCCCGAGCGGGGTCAGAGCCGCGCAGCCAATCACAGGGGCCAGCCGCGATTAGGGATGCCAAAAAGCCGGCACCGGCGGCGGCGGGGCCGCTGCTCGGCGGGCTGGGGCCGGTGCCCGCCAGCGGACTGGGGCTGTCGCCCGCCCCTGCGCAAAGAAGGGCAGGCCCGGCCCCGCAGGCCCCGGCCCCGCTTCGCCTCCAGCCGTGCTGGGGAGGTGGGGTTAGGAAGGGAGGGAGGGAGGGATGGAGGCATCCCTGCTTTCATAAACACGCACGGCGTGGGGCACCGGCCCTGGAGGAGAGATGCGCAAGGCTTACGTGTAGGGAAACCACGGGCTCTCTGGCTTTCTTGCTCATCTTGTATTCTGAGATAAATAAGAGGTCAGAAGAGAAATTAGGGAACTTGGATATAAACTAAGAATTAAAACTGAGCAGCCTTCTTTAAAATACAGAGCTGGAAGCTTTGCACGTTGGAGAAGCATTCTGCTTTATGCCATCAGAGGAGGTGAAACGGTTGCTTGGACTCTCCAGACACCCATGCCCATAAGCACGGTTTCTGAACCATACAGTTCCTTGTTAACTTGCCTTTTATCATCTGTGGGCAAGATACCACACACTTCAACCCTGCCAGCATTATCCCAGCCAAAGACATTAAACTAAGAGAAAGCCTAAGACTTCCCCTGTTTCACTCAACCTGGGGCAAAAGCTCTACCAGAGCACAAACTGTGACAGCGGTCAGCAGTCCTCAGCGTGGCTCCTGCAGTCTGCTCATGGGGCCAGTTAATCAGCAAAACACCAAACTGGAGCTGGGACTGTAGCTCCAGATCAGTGAAAAGTCCATCCTCTGTCTCATCTTTGAGGAGAAGCAGCTCCCTATTCCTCCTCTTGGTTTTGCAGGCCTATGGGGTGGTTTATCGGGCTAAATGGCTCCAGTCTTCCCCTGAAGGAGAACCTGTCCCCAGGGGAAACCCATCCTTCTGGTCTCTGGAAAAGGCTCTCCAGTGCCAGCTGCATGGTGAAACAAGGGCAGGGGAATGCCTCTGAAATCTGTGGTATCTGTCCAGGATGGCCACAAGTGTTTTGGACTGCCCTTTGTCCTGCATACTTTGGAAATCCTGGTTTAAGAGTCTTGGCCAGCTAAAGAATTGGGGCTGCTGCAGGTGCTGAAAATTATGCCTTCCCTGAGTAAACCAAGGGCACCTCCACGGTGATGGCAGGATTGCTGAGGCCGTCTCATGTTAGAGCAGCAAGGTAGTCAATATTCCCAGCCATTATTTTACAGAAACCCATGTCTCCACGGAGACCATTTCCATTCCAGAGATGGAAATGGTACCAAGAGGAGAAGGAAGACTGCCAGGGCACTGGTGTGGCCAGCTGCTTTCTGACAGACAGGACACTGGGAGCCAATTGTGTTGAGAGTCACTGGAGCAGGTTTCCCCGAGCCCTGGCCCCATCTCACTGTACCTGAGCAAAGCAAGCAGAGCAGCTGTGGGCCGTAGCCAGACTCAGCCTTGAGTCCAGATCACCAGACAAGTTGATGGGGATGAGGCAGCTCCAAGTTCTGGCCACGAAGTCAAGTCCTCGAGTGGGGGTCCAGATCAGTAGGTGCATGGCCAGGTACAGGCACGTAGCTCAGACAGGAGTCAGGAATGAGACCCTCAGTTTAAAAGCAGCTGCCAAGCAGAGGAGGGAGGAGCCCCTGCTGAAGGTCCCTGCAGGTCTTTCCTAACAATTGCCTGTATCAGTGAGCTGACCTTGAGCAGCCAGCTTTGATCCTAGAGGGTGGGGAGGTTGCACAGTACACCTCATCAGAGACTTATCAGACAATCCTACCACCTCAAACTTTGGTTGTGTATTGTCTGCATTAGCCAGTTCTTGGTTTGACCTCTCTCCCACCCCACTGGGGCTCCCCAGGTATGGTGTGCGATTTCCTTCCCCAGCATTCAACCTGGAGTTAATAAGCTGTGCCTGGGTCTGTTATGGTAAAAATTCAAGCTATCATCTTGCCAATAAATTATTCAGAACTTTATTATGTTTTCTCTAATTCTCAAGTTCTCTGTAAACTGATTCAGATTTCTCCAGAAACAGTTCCTCCCCAAATATCTCTGAGGCAGAATGACAATTTGTGGGCTATGTGTGAAGTCCCAAGCTGCAGTCTGCTGTAGAACTAAACCCACCAGGTCTAAAGCCCTCTGAAATGTTGTAACTACCTCTGTTGGTACTAGCATCAGTGTGAAGAGGTGCACATCATTGATCTGCCTAAAGAACTGCCCAGAGCTCACACAGGGTGTGGATATGCACAGGGGCTGCTTCTCAACTTGAGCCCATGTTCTGACAGCTTTTTGTGCACCACAATTTCTTTCTTTTTCCTTCAGACCCAGCTCTGCATCTCTGCCCAAGGACAGGTACAGGGGTGTGGGTTATTTGGATGTTCTAGCTCAAGCTAGACAGAGCCCAATTTGACAAGCCTGTCAGAGTTAATCAGCATGAGGTCTACTCTACAACGTGTCACCTTTATCACTTTTAGCCTCCCTGACTGGGTGATAGAAGTAGCTCATACAAAGTTAATGCTCTGACCACTGTCAGGTTAGAAAGGTATAGACATAGGGGCTTTGCTGATATATACTGAAGTTTCTTATATATCAGTCCTTACTTGTATTTCAACCCCTCTCTAACTAATTTCTGGCAATATTTTCACCCTGTCTTGACCAGAAGAAATTCTGGCTTTATTTGAGCTTTCCTCAGCTACATGACTCGGTTTCCTGGGGAGAGAAACATTAGGAACCTTGACTTCTCATCCTTTTTCTTCTTCCACAGTTCATCTGCCTTGTCCTTGGGGCTGAACTTTACCACCTCTCCCATATGTTTGCAAATCTGTCCTTCATGTATTGGGCTGACTTGGTTCTTTCTTCAGTCTTAGCTTTACTTCAGCCTTCTCCTGTGTCCATGGAAAACTTGAATCCCAGTAGAAGCAATGTTTGTTGTTAACCCCTTAGTCTCTAAAGAAGTGTTACTTACAGAACTGCTCTTTGTTGTCTCTGTCAGCACTGGGTTCAAAGCTGTCTTTGTCTAGACAGGCCTCAGTGGATAAAAGTGCCCCACAAAAAGATGGAGGGCAACTTTTTACATGGGTAGACAGGGAGAGGACAAGGGAAAATGGCTTTAAATTGAATGAGGAGAGATTTAGCTAGGAAGAAATTCTTTACTCAGGGGTTAATGAGGCACTGAACAGGCCGTACAGAGTAGTTGTGGATGTCCCATCCCTGGAAGTATCCATGGCCAGGCTGGATGGGGCTTGAAGTAACCTTATCTAGTGGGTGACATCCCTGCTCATGGTAGGGGGGTTGGAACTAAATGATCTTTGAGGTCCCTTTCGACCCAAAACATTCTATGATTCTCTGATGATTCAAACAGATAGGTCAGACCTGACATCCCCATGCTCTTCCATCTCCTCTACAGTGGCTTTTGGGTTCTTCCAGCACTGCATCAGTTATTTTGGTCTCCTCTGCAGTGGAAGTGCATGCAGGTCCTGCCTGTCTCCTTTCAAAACTTATATATGGAAAAATACTTTGAGTAAAAGTATCTCTTATTTTAGTTGTGTTCTTAAACTTTGGAGAGCACTGGTGATCCACTGAAGTCACAGTCATTGTGACATTGAGGACATTTTTACATTATCCTTCCACCATATGTTGCACTGTAGATGGATATAAGACATGATAATATTAATATGACAAGAAAAGACACTTGCGGTATTAATCAAAACTGCTGAGACAGGAAGACTGGCCAGAGCTACCTGCCTACACATGTTATAAATTCTGTCTATCATATAAAGTCTTCAAATCAAGGCTGAAAGTTTTTAAGAGATGATCTATAAGTCATCCAGAAGATACTGGTCTGATGCAGAAACTATTTGGTTTTGTAGCCTATTTTATCTCAAAATTCAGGCTAGAAGGTTTTAATGTTCCCTTCAGGCCCTAAAATCTTGAAGTCCACGGAGCTCATGGTGTCTGATAGGGATGTTCTATCTTTATAAAAGCCTTCCCATATAAGAAGCTTCTGATGTCAAGTGTCCTATTGAACATATCTTTTTCTTTACGCGTCAGTCTATTGATCTCTAAATAATCAAAGATACAAAGTACATGATGACAGGAGATTTTGCACCTGTCATGCCCATGGCCAAGTTCTCCCAGCCAGCAGCTGCTGGCTGAGTTACTGCAGCCCTGAGCAGACCTCTCTGTTTCCACCTGCTCTGAATCATCCTGCTAGTTTTAAGCTGGACTCTTAACCCCTGGATAAAATCTTCATCTTACTGAAGACAGCAGGACCTTGGTCACTGACATTTAACAGACCTAGGACTTCACTTTTCTTAGCACTTCTGACATTTTCCTTTTTTTTCCATTATACCTCTCTTTCTCTCCTGACACAGATGCATCCATATGTCTCATATTTTCTCTCTGGCTGAGCACCTCCATTCATGCCACATCTAGCTGCTAGGACTCAACCATGCTGCACAGGCATTTCTTCTGTCCTACAGTTTCCTGGGGCAAGGTCAGAGAAACTCAGGATACCTTTCCTCTGGCACCTCTCAGCTTGAGGTGTTGGGTGGCTCTGCTCTGCTTAGGACAAGGCGTGAAAGAAAACCTTTTCTGCATGGGGCTGCTGAGCAGTTAATGGCTGGATATCAAAGCTTTCTGTTAGCTGAATATATTAGTAACTTCTAGTTGCCTGGAAATCAGAGGAGAAAAATTTAACCCTTTGTGCCAGTCTGGAGTGGGTGCTGCATGTCAGTGTCCCATCACATCTGGTTCACTTTCTCTCCCTGGGCAGTGCTGGATGGAGCAACACCAGAGGTTTATTGCCACTCTTTTCCAACTCCTAAAACAGAAGAGAATATTATTCAGTGGATAAATGTTTATAT